CATTGAGAAATACGAAGCAGGAATGTTGGAATCCTAAAAGAAAAGAAAATACAAGGAAAGTGAGTATTAGTAAACGAAATTGTATTCAGAGACAGAGAGAAACAGAGGGAGGCTCAAACAATTTAGCCAAGGCATCACAAAAATATCTATTTTCCCACTTTCCTTGCACCTGCTTGGTCTTGCAAACATTTTCACTTCCATCTCATCCTCCACGTTCTCCACACACTCCTCCTCTGCCCCACTGTCCAAATCACCACACCCTTTTTCTACTACTGCTTCTTCCTTTTTGTCATTTTCACATCCTTCTTCTTCTTCCTCCTCATCAACACCTTCTTCATTATCATCACAATCAGAGGCTGAAAAACTCTCAACCAAACACAGCCTAAGCCTGCCATCACCACGCTCTGCATGAAAATAAGGACGAGGGGAAGGAGAAGCAACGGCTTCCAATATTAGCCTTCCACCTTCGCGACGAGGCCTAACTTGAACCCCTCCCAAATCAGTTATTGTGGTAAGTGGTGGTGGAAGATTACAAGCACGATTCACTCGCTTCGAATTGCAACTTGTAACACTAGTAGTAACAGTGATAGCAGTAGCATTAGTAATATCAGTAGTAGTAGTATATTTGGTGGAGCAAGTGTTGGTGTCGAAGGAAAACAAAGACATTCCATCACTGCTTTCACTGGCATTGCTACCGGTCTCGCTGCCAAGGCTTTCGGTGCACATTTCTAAGCTTTTTTCGTTGAGAAATGAAGAAGAGCGTTTAACTGTGGGGTGGATGTAAACTTTGTCCTCTGTTTTCTTTTGACAGTGAGAAGTGTGTTGGAGAGTTTGAAGGAAACCCCAGCCACTACCAAGGTTGGATGAATTTGTGTCGTTTTTGTCACATTCATGGTTGGTGAGGGGTGAGACAGTGGAGGGGTCAGAAAAATTGGAGCCATGTTGTAATGCTAGTTTGAGCCTGAGAACACGTGACTCCATCACGCAGGGTTCGAGACAAGATTGCAACCCTTGGCAGACACTTGAGGGAGACATTGTGATGAAAATGTGAAAAACAGGGGAAAACAGAGGAAAACAGGGTACCTGGGAATTGGGTTAAAAAAATAGTAAGGAAATTGAAGGAAGGTTGGTTGGGAAAGAGAGAAGAGAGGACACGAAGAAGGAGTGAAAAGGGTGGTCTGAATATATAGTTGTGGCAACGTAAAGCTACCTGTAACTTTGTTGAGTGCGGATAGGGTCCTATTCCCTAACAATAGGAAGTGATGCTAATTTTTTTTTTCTTTTTTCCAAGAACATCTATAGTATATATTAAGGAACTAATTTATTCTCTTCAAAACTCTTATATATTTTTTTTATGCATAAACTCTATTACAAAGATTAAAAATAATTATAAATAAATAAACATATTAAAATAATTAATATTATAATAAATATATTAAAATAATTAATAATTAATAATTAATAAAACTTTTTTAAATTTCTATCTTTCTACAAGATAATTATCATATTATTGTATTTTAATTTTTATATTTTTATATTTATTTGATAATTTTAAAATAAAGGAAAAACACTCTTTATATGTAAGGAATATTCGATAAGGAAGAAATTTTTTTTATTCAAAAAAATCATGATTCTTAAGAATATAAATCCTAGATTATGAGAATAACTAAAATATATTTAGTTATTTATAAACATTTTTATAAATATCCATATAAGATTGTTGAGAATCAAAAATTTTTATGTTTAATTATAATAGTAAATTTTTAGATATGTAAATATTTTTTATAAAAATATATTTTTATTAAAAATAAACTCATGAAATATATTTATTTACTTAAATATTTTACAAATATAACATTAAACTATTTTAAAGAGTCAAAAACTTATTAAATTATTTAAATACAAAATTAATAAAAAATAAAAAATAATGTTACATTATAATTAAAAAGAATAAAATATTATTTCATTTCATTTAAATAAAAAAACCAGTGTTAACAAATATCATGAAAAATCAAGATCCATAATTTAAGATTCTCATAAAAATAAAAATATTTCACATATTAAACGTTCCTGTAATTTAAACATAAAAAATACAATTTTTATATTAAATTTGTATAATTACGTTATCTTTTAAAATAATTAATACATGTTGAGAAAATAAATGAAATTTCAAATAAATTGAGCGAGAGGAAACTTAAGGAGTTATTTTAACAATTTGTGATCTTTAAGATATTATTTAAATTTATAGATTTTTTATTTTTTTTAGTATCTTTTAGAGATTTATTTCCTATTTTTTTTAATTAGAAGGATTATATGATTCAAATTTTGTATTACAATTTTGCTTTATATATAAAGAGTCGATAAATAGAATATGTATATCCCTTTTAAGATCTTTGGATATGTGGGTGATCTTATTGTATGCGAAATTTTTTTTCTTTAAATATGTGCTCATGAAATGTAATTTCTATTAGTTAAACATTATTTTTAATGTTGGCCAGAATCAATTATGGAAACACCAAATCGACCTATTGCATCTTAAAGTAGACCTTACAATTACTAGATTAAGAAAAATGGTTTCTGAAAAATTCTATTCCTAATTTTTTTTAAATAACTATTAAATATGGAAAATCAAGATCCCTAATTTAATATTTTCTTAAAAATAAAAATATTTCGTATATTAAACATTCCTATTATTTAAACATAAAAAATATAATTTTTATATTAAATTTATATAATTGCATTATCTTTTAAAATAATTAATATGTGTTGAGAAAATAAATTAAATATAAAATAAATTGAGAGAGGGAAAAATTAAGGAGTTATTTTAGGAATTTGTAATCTTTAAGATATTATTTAAATTTATAAATTTTTATTTGTTTTCATATCTTTTAGAAATTTATTTCCTATTTTGTTAACTAGAAGGATTGTATGATTCAAATTTTGTATTACAATTTTACTTTATATATAAAGAGTCAAGAAATAAAATATGTGTGTTCCGTTTAAGTTCGTTGAATATGTGGATAATATTATTCTGTCAGGAATAATTTTTTCTTAAATATGTGCTCATGAAATGTAATTTCTATTAGTCAAACACTATTTTTAATATTGGCTAAAATCAATTATGGAAATACCAAATTGACCCATTACATCTTAAAGTAGACCTTACAATTACTAGATTAAGAAAAATGACTTTTAAAAAATTATATTCCTAATTTTTTTAAAAATATATATTAAATATGGAGAATCAAGATCCTTAATTTAAGATTCTCTTAAAAATAAAAATATTCCACGTATTAAATACAATTTTTATACATAAAAACATTCCTAATTTAAGATTCTCTTAAAAATAAAAAACATTCCGCGTATTAAACATGAAACATCAAAATCCCTAATTTAAGATTCTCTTAAAAATAAAAACATTCCTGTAATTTAAACATGAAAAATACAATTTTATATTAAATTTATATAATTGCATTATCTTTTAAAATAATTAATACGTGTTGAGAAAATAATTCAAATTTCAAATAAATTGAGTGAGAGGAAACTTAAGGAGTTATTTTAGGAATTTGTAATCTTTAAGATATTATTAAAATTTTAGACTTTTATTTGTTTTAATATCTTTTAGAGGTTTATTTCCTTTTTTTTTTTAACTAGAAGGATTATATGATTCAAATTTTGTATTACAATTTTGCTTTATATATAAGGAATCAAGAAATAAAATATGTGTGTTCTGTTTAAGATCTTTGAATATATGGGTGATCTTATTGTGCGAGAAATTTTTTTTCCTTAAATATGTACTCATGAAATATAATTTCTATTAGTCAAACATTATTTTTAATATTGGCCAAAATCAGTTATGAAAACACCAAATTAAATCATTGCATCTTAAAGTAGACCTTACAATTACTAGATTAAGAAAAATGGTTTTTGAAAAATTATATTCCTAATTTTTTTTAAATAGCTACTAAACATGAAAAATCAAGATCTCTAATTTAAGATTTTCTTAAAAATAAAAATATTTCACATATTAAACGTTCCTGTAATTTAAACATAAAAAATACAATTTTTATGTTAAATTTATATAATTGCATTATCTTTTAAAATAATTAATAAGTGCTGAGAAAATAATTCAAATTTTAAATAAGTTGAGTGAGAGGAAACTTAAGGAGTTATTTTAAGAATTTGTAATCTTTAAGATATTATTTAAATTTATAGATTTTTATTTGTTTTAATATATTTTAGAGATTTATTTCTTATTTTTTTAATTAAAAAGATTATATGATTCAAATTTTGTATTATAATTTTGCTCTATATATAAAGAGTCAATAAATAAAATATATGTGTTCCGTTTAAGATCTTTGAATATGTGAGTGATCTTATTATATGAGAAATAATTTTTTCTTAAATATGTGCTCATGAAATATAATTTCTATTAATTATACATTATTTTTAATATTGGCTAGAATCAATTACGAAAAGACTAAATTGACCTATTATTTTCTTAGTTATTTTTATCCTGATAATGATTTGGGATTTTCTAGTTATCGTAATTAGGATAATAATTTAGACTTTTCTAATTATTGTAATTAGATAAGAGAAATGATAATAATATTATTTCTACTATACTTGTCTTTGAGCTGTGTTGTTATCACTTTTCTTAAAACAATAGTTTATATTTTTCTAATTATTCTAATTATAAAATTAGTTATTTTTTTATTATTTAGAACTTACATATAAATGGTGTATACAAACATGTGAACTTCAGTGTAAAATATTTATTTTTTCCATTTCAACATAATTAAACCTTAAGTCCTATCTCATACTTCAACCAATAAAAATGTTAAAAATTACATAAGAAAAAGAAAATAAAATATATAAAGATATAAGAACTTAGTTGTATAATTAGTCATGGATAAACTTCTAATTTAAGCCATGCCTTACAATCAAGAGAAAAGAGAATTTGGTTTATTGATAAGAGTGACTGAAAACACGTAAAGGGCGGAAGCACAAGGTTTATATACATCATACTAACTTCTAACATACTCATAATCAACTAAATTCTAACCGATATATATAAAATATTTTTAATCCTTCAAATTTAAGATAAATTTATTTTTGGTCTGTCAAATTTAAAATTGTTATTTTTAGTCTCTATAATTTTTAAAAATATTATTTTAGTTCTTCAGATCATTAATAATATATCTAAAAATGATAAATTAAGACGGTTATACAATATCAACTGGATTTAATATAATGTTTTCACTAATATGAACACTAATAGGTAGATTTTATGTAATAATATTTTATAAATTTCTTAGCAAAATTTGAATATAAGAATTAAAACAAGATTTTTAAAAATTATATAAATTAAAAATAACAACTTTAAATTTAAAGAACTAAAATTAAATTTATTTTAAATTTAAAGAGCTAAGAATATATTTAAGCACACACTGTTAGAGTCATGTTTTAATGAGAATAATAAAATCAAAATTTGGATAACAAGGTTTGAAAACCTTTTTCATTCAAATCTTCTTGATTTTGTGTACTGTTTATAAATATTAATATTAAAATATTATAAAGTAAAAATTAGTTAAGAAGATATTAATTGTAGATTAGAAAGTTGAACAAGGTGACTTTTTTTTTTAAGGAAGATTATTCTTTTCGAATTGAATCCTATAAAAATTAAGTGAGACTTTTATTAAAAAAAATTTGTTGAAACTAAAAATCAAACTTCAATTATTAATTAAAGAAACACAAGGTGACTCTAATATATAAAATCTATTTATGCTTTATTATAGTTTAATTAGTAAGAGTCTAACTAGTAAGAACAAAAAAGTACGAATACCAGAAAAACTTCAATTTGAAATCAAATTCCGGTAGTATTTTCAATTAAAGTTCATTGTAACATGTCACTTAGCTTAATTAAGGGGACAGGTCAGATAAAATTGAATAATTATAAACTCTTCCGA